TGCGATCATTCTGCCCAAATTCTTATAGAATCCAATTCTTCGATCGGTCGCCACGAAAGTTTTCCAAAACAAAAAATGCGCCAATTGGGAGTACCACGACCTGAAATTAATTTTTTAACACCTATTAATATTTATTATCAATTCTGCACTGTGACATGCCCAACCGCTCTCGTTACTAGACTCTCGCGCGCACGCTCGCAACCGCACAGCGTGCCGCGCCGCGCCTCTCCGCACGCACCTGTTAAAAACTTATAATTTAAATAAAATAATAATTAAATGTAACATATCACAATAAATAATGAATAGACCTGACCTTTGACCCGTCAGGGTCCTCTTTAAGCCCTTCAACAGTCCGTAAGTGGAGTACAAGTCCAGCAGTATCTCCAACAGCTCCCAACACGATAACTTCACCCTCGGCACGCACCACTCCTCGAACGGCTTCAGTTCCCATCGTTTTTTATACACATACCTCCAATTTTTGTCATTATTATCATTTATAATAATTAACATTAATAATAAAAATAATAATAAATAACAATAATAACAATAATAATAATAAATAATAATAATAATAAATAACAATAATAATAAACCCATCCACCTGCACGTTTGGCACTGAGTTTTTTGTGCGATCGGAGCATTTTGCAGCCATTTATCAAAACAACTCGAATGAACCCACTTAATCGAGCCAGTACACTTACACGGACACAGCCACTTGCCCATCGAATCGTCGTCAGAGTAGCAGAATTTACATGACTGCAATTTTTTATTATATTTTTTATTATTTATTATATTTATTATTATATATTATATTTATTATTAATCACATTTATTATTACTATAACTAGATCGAAACAACCGCAGTAAATTGTCGCTACCACCGCGCGCACACGCACGCAATAGTGCTGCGCCGCAGCAGTGGGCGGGGCCTCTTCATTATTTTAATATTTATTATTCATCATTATAATTATAATTATTATTTTATTATTATAATCATTATTTTATTTGAAAACAACTCAAATAAGTCTAGAATAATAAATAAATAAATAATAATAAACGATAGATAATAAACCTAGAATATTATTATTAAATAAATAGAACAATAAATAATAATAAATAAACAAAACAATAAAAATAAAAATAATAAACACAATAACAATAATACAAAAAATACCCTAATTTCATTCCCATCCCCGTCACCCTCCGCGTCCGCTTCGTCCGTCAAATCACCCATATTACCACCTTTTGAGGAGCTCCCCTCGATCTCTGCATCGAACATTGCCTTTTAATTATTATTATTATTATATATTATTATATATTTATTATACATTATTATTATATATTATTATATACAATATTATTATATACACATAAAAAAATCACATACACAACAAAAATTATTTGAAAATAATATGAATGATATATAATATAAAAATAAATAAATAACGACAAAATAATAATAATAATAATAATAATAAATACAAAATGATGATATATTTAATATTCACATCATTTAATAATAATCATTAAAGCAATAATCAATTTAAATCTTTACTCAATTATTATTATATAAATGGAATATTCATACAAATCACATTTACATATACAATTTCTATTTAAAATATTCATCAGAATAATAATAATAATAAATATATTAATATAAACAATAATATTGTTTATATTAATAAATATTTATTATTATTATAACAACCAGACCAGATTCAAGCGAATTAATATCATTGTGTATAATATCGTAGATGTAATTCACAACACAACATTAATAATAATAGTAATAATAATATTTATTTTTATATTGTATAATAATAATATAAATTATTATACAATATAAAAATTATTTATTATTATTATTAAAATTATTACACATAATCCTTCGTAATTATTCTCGTAATTATTTCATCACTAAAAGTCTCATGGTTATACTCTGGCTCATGCACGTGATAGACCTGAAATTAAATATTTTAATA